GTTCATTTGTGATTATCTTAAGTAGTTTATTGTTCTATTTGTAGTTTGTTGGTCGGTAATTTAGATTATGTTATGCGCGCGTATGTTTAGTGTGAATAATGATTAATAATAATAGGTTGTAAGTGGGATTTGATTCCTGTCTTTCTATAATTCATTTATCAGCCTCTCCTCATTTACTCCCTCAATTGCCTTGAGCGAAAGTGCCTCACTTACCCCGCAAAGAATTGGTAACAAAGGAACGAGTTTTGTTACATTTCAACTAGATGAAGGCATGAAAGTATAGCCCATTTAAAACATTCATTGTCTTCATTTTTAACATTAACACAGGCTCTTTTATTATCTATGCTTGACGGTAATGGTGAGCATGGTTTAAATGGATTATACTTATTTATATTAATAGTGAGACCAACAATAGTTTTTAACGACCAGCCTGAGTCTCTTTCTTGAAATTCTTCGATTTGTTTAAGTATAATATCTTTAACGTTATTTTGAAACTGTCAGCAAACTAAGGGCGCTGCCAGCAAATTATGGGTGCTGCCTACAAAGTGTGGGCGCTGTAGGCAGTATATGGAAGAGTTAGCTCAAACGAAAGAGCGGGGGTGAACCGACTGTAGCACCATCTAACTTATTAATTTAGTATTAAAGGGTTTGTATATAGATCTTCAGGATAAAAATAAAGTCATTATTGCTTTGAGATACGATTCAGTTCACATATCATAGAGAATAATGGGATTTATACTGTAAGATGGACTATATTTTAGATATTCAAGGCTTTCAGAGTCCTAATAATACTTTTATTTGTAAGGAGTTTGCCTATTTACCAGTATGTTCTAATACTTCACCTACAGTACTACTTTTTAAACCTCCATATCATTGGCTCAAATTGTCTATTGAATATCAAAGTGTTAATAAGTGGTTGGAATTACATCATCATGGTATTTATTTTTATTATCGTTAATTAACAATGATTTTATTTGAAATATTTAATATAATCAATTTTATAGGTATATTATGGAGAAATAGTATTTTACCATATAATTTTTTAAATTGTACTATACATAGTTATTTACATAATTGTAGAAATATTTATGTGAAAGGATTACAAAAGAAGCAATGGCTCAAAAAAATTATTCCTGAAAAGTAGGTTCAAATAATATATAATAGTACAAAATTCTAAATTCGAATTTAATTAATTTTTTTTAATTACAGAAATATTTTAGATATCGAAACTGAAATGAGATGTCCGCGATTGGAAGATTTAAGTCTTAAATTTAAACCATCATGCATATATCATAGTCAAAATCGCGAGAATATAGTATGTACTGCAGTAAATACACAAAAGATACACGATTGGATGATGGAAAGACAAAAACAAGCAAAATCAAAAGGGATCGACACAGTCGAAAGATTTACAGATGACTATAATTCATATAAAAATTCAACTGAATATTTAAAAATAGCTATGTCAGACACTGAACATAAAGATTATAGACAAAGTGTACTCTATTCAATGTATAATTAAAAATAATAAAAATTAAATAAATAATAAATGTGTGCTTATTTAAATAGTAAAATAATAAGGTTCTTTCCTAGCAGAGATGTTTAGGAGGAACATCTCAAGGAGGTGTCAGTCGAGCGACTGCATTCGTAGTCTCTAGCATTCTCACGAAAACAGTTCACTTCGTGGAGAGAGCACGCATTGACTATAGACAGCATACGCTCCCCTCCGCGCACCATGGTCCACACTTAGCTAGAGCGTAGGAGAGAGAGAGAGAAAGAGAGAGAGCGCACGTTTACTACTACTATAGTAGCGCATCCCCATCAGGCCTAATAGAACTATAGACAGCATGCGCTCCCCTCCTCCTCCGCACGCTCAGGTCCAATACCAAACGTATGCGTGTGTAGCTAATATACACAATATGCATCCTCTAAGGTACATGTGGCATTGGTTCTAGTGGTAGAACGCTAGCCTGCCAACCCAGAGGATTCCGGTTCGAATCTCCCGTCTGTCTCTTCATTTTTTTCAAAAATCGTCGCTATTTTCTACTCGTTTCATTTTCAATAAAGCAAGTAAATTGTCAATAATATATATTTATAACTTTAAAAAAAAAAATTTTTAATTTAATTAGACTGAAAGCGCTAGGTATAGGATCCCTAGGGAATAGGAGCCCTAGTGACTAGGAGCCCTAGAAATCTTCCTCAAAAAATTATAAATAATTATTAACATTAATAATAATTAACACTGAAGCGTTAGGCCAGGGAATCAAAGGGTTAAACCAGGGACCCCCCACGAATATTGTTAATAATAATTGTTAACATTAACAATTTGTTAACATTAACAATTATTAACTACACCCCCCGCAGGTGTGACTTCCGGTGTGCTGGAACATACGTATGTTCCAGCAAACCGGAAGTGTGCTGGAACATACATTGCTATACTACTTACTGTATCCGTCTTCGCGAAAAATCTGTGGCGGTTCTAAAACATGGATAGCGTTATCGGGAGCTCTCAAATGTTTTAGAATAGTTTATCTACTCATTCTTATTTCCTTATCCCATTAAGTACTGCAGCAATAATATTTTTGCCAATCATGCTAGCAGAATTGAATAATTACATAGATCTGCAAAATATGAGATTATGATTGTTATGAAAATAATGATAATCATTTCTGAAGTAATTTTTAGCTAGAAACCATATCCGGGCTTAAAATTTTTTCATCACGTTAGGTTTTTTAGCGATCCTAATTTAAAAGTGTAAAAACACGTAATTCCACTTTATTTAAGCACCAATAACTTCGCAAATTATTATTCTTTTTCAAATCTGATAAAACAATCAAAACAGATCACTTTTTAGCTTCCTATTTCACTATTTACATTTATGATTTGAATACTTCTAACCAAAGACATCGCCAATAAAAAAAGAACACAAGTTTCTTATTGACTGATATACGAAAAGAAAAAATGATAGAAATCAAATTTGTTTTTCATTCTTATTTTTGATAAACGAGGCATTACATGAACAAAAGATCATTAACAGCAAGTACAACTATGATAAATTTTACGACCTATTATTTTTCCCTTTTTATTGGGAAATCCATGGAACCTTTAACTTTTCTATGATTCAACTTTTTATCTCGGAAAACATTTTTTGAAGTGAATATAAAGTACGTAGCCTTTTACGTATAACTTTATGAAACCATCATGAATGGATTTGAAAATTTCAGAAAATTTGTAATTTCGAATTTATAATTTCCATTTCATGACAACGCAGTTTTCTGAAAAACAAAAAAAACTGTGTTTTCAAAATTTATGTTCTATTAAAAACCATGAAGTTAGAAGGCAAAGTATTTTAAAATTTACCCGCTTAACTTTATTTAAAATCATATTTTTTTATAAGCTCAGCTCCAATTTTAAATCTTACAAGTTAACACTCTTTAATTTATGTGTGCTCGTTATAAAAGTTTACTACCATAACCTTCATCTTCAGATTTTCAGTTTTATGAAAGTTGCAAAGCTTTGTTGAAAAAATTTTCTAATATTATAAGATACATTAGAAAAAATATTGAATCATGAAATTTTTTGAATCTGATCAATATAAACATGAACTTATATCGTAAATGAATATAAAAAAAATTAAATATAAAAAATGTTGAGAAAAGTCGAAAATATATGATATTGTATAAATTTGTATAGAGTACGCACTATTAATTCGAAAATTTAGAGTTTTGTTTATAGATTTGACAGCTTGAATCGATTGTATGCTAACTAATGTTTCGATCGTTGGAATTTTATAATAATATAACAAGTATTAAATTACCAATTATTATCACTATGCAAACAAGAGAAATTTTTTTTTGGTTGAATAATCAATATTTTTATTTTTCTATGAAAACACAGAAAAGACTTCATGTAAATGAGTAACGCGGGTATATTTTTTTACTTTTAGTGATCTAAACTTAATAAGTTTAACAAATATGGTTCCAAATAAAAAAATTATTTACACTTTCAAACAAAATTAAGGGTTCCATGAATTTCCCTATGTGTTGGTCATTGCGAAGCCTGCAATTTTTAATCGACGATATCTCCAGTTAAAATAATTCAAATCATAAATGTAAATAGTGAAATAGGAAGCTAAAAAGTGATCCATTTTCATAGTTTTATCAGATATAAAAAAAAATATTGCGAAAAAAAGTATTGATGTTCAAATGAAACGGAAAACCGTATTTTCATATATTTAAGTTAGAATCACTTAAAAATCTGATGTAATGGAGTAATTCTGAGTCCGGGTTTGGTTTCTAGTCTCAAATTACTTCGAAAATCTTTCTTAGCTATTAAGAAAACAATGCAGACCTGTGATTATTCTCAGATCGGTTTATAAACTATCGAATTATAAATAATTGTTTTATAATAATTCCTAAAGTAGACAATAGAATGACAACGTTCATTTTCCGTATACTTGTCGTACATTTGGTCATTTCTTTGTGCACATGAAACGTTTGTGAATTCATATGTTTAAAAACAATGATATGAGAAACTATAGCAATTAATTATTTAAATTTTATATTGGGTTCGTTATTCATGAGTTTTTTATTGGATTGAATAAAAACCCTAAGAAATTCAGAAATTTTCGGGCTAAAATTATTTGATTCTAATTCCGATATGATAAAGTTCAATAATAGAATCAACAATAATTACATGTACGTATTTATGTTTGCACGTATGTATGTATGAACACGCACATATGAGACGCAATGCTAAATTATTCAACAACTATGCTAATAAATGAAATATGTTTCAACTGCTAAATAATATTTAGGATCGTAAAATTAATTCATTTTGAATATTTGAAGTTCAATAAAATGATCGTTACTAATGTTCCACACCCTAACTACAATGACTGCTCTCTCAATTTGCTTGTCTACTGTACCTTTGAAATATAAGGGTTGTAAAGCTAGTACGTATGCGCGCGCAACTCCGTCCTTCGCCAACATAATCGAACAGGGAGTTTTCTGCTTCGTCGTCATCGAGTCATGAGTAATATTAAACTATTTAACTATTTTAGTTTGTTCCATTAGCAATCAGACAACAAAATCATTTGATAGTTTTTTTATTACTTATCATAAAAAAAAGATAAGTTCTTATACTAGTACTGCTTATCCACAGTCTATAATATAATTAATTATTTGTTAAGGTTATTAGGAACTATCAGTGAAATATTCTAAAATTGTCCAACCGATTTTGTTATTTTTAATGCATGGGTTCGTGATCACCGTTTGGTAAGCAAAAGGCAGAAGTATTCTTTTCCCTTATTTATTATTGAACAGAACTTTTAGTTGATTACATACAATCAATATTTTTATTTCGGAATTTTTAATTTTATTATCTTGCTACAATCTGTTAAAATAAGAATATTATATGATGTTGACAACAACTTTAATATAATATTCTGCAATAACAACGTTCTATTGATTTGAGTATATTTTGATATTGATTTCATTACTTCAGAGGCAAGATGAACTTATTCAAGTTCTGAAAGAACACGTTAATAAATTTAAATTTTATATTAAAACATTAAAGTCTGGAATGTAGAAAACCGAAATATACAAACTGAAAAAAATATACGTAATTAAATTAATTTATTTCATTTTAATAACTTTTATAATAAATACATTTTAAAAATTCTTTCAAGTCGATACCAAGAGATAAAAAATAGTTATCATCATTACGTAAACGTCTTGTACGTAAAAACGTAAAACTCTTGTATTACTGATGTATGGAAAACATATTTCCATATAAAGAGTAATTTGCAATCTGTATTGATATTTGTTAAGCTAAATAGAACATTTAAAAATTAGTAGTTTCTGTCAAGTTATAATGTTCATTCTTGAAAGTAGGCTGAGTGTTCTAATCTCTGGCAGTGTACAAGTTATCTTCTTTTGCAAGTTCTCAGAAACATAAAATAATCACATAAAAACTTCGAATTTTAAACGAATTGTTTTATAGAGAGAATAAATATTATTATAGTATAATCATTTTTGAATTATTGTATACATTTAATAATATTTTACCTAAACCAACGATTTCATTAGTATTATTATTTATCGAGCCGGGTGAGCCAGTATGCTTCACATATTCTGTCATCTAGAAGTAATATTTGGTATATAGAAGAATGCTACCAAACGAACTATCGTTTAAATTTATGATACTCAAAGATGTGAATATTAATTAATTGTTTTTTTATTATAATTATATCACCGTCAATGGTGAAAAATATTTATTAATGAAATGCACATGTAAAAATGAGGTTCAGTTTAGAATTACGATTGTTTGCCATTAACTCGACGGTTTATCGATAAAAAGGTATATTATTTATTTTGACAAGATATTAAAAGTTCAATCAATTACTCAATGCTTAAATATAAAGTACTATGTCCGGATAATGGAATATTAAGCTTTACTGTTCCGGCCTTGTAAAGTAGATACTTTGCGAAACTGTTACAACGCGAAATTGAGTATATAAATATTTCTAAATGAAATAGATATTTTTTTTATAGGTCAAAAGAAAATATAATCTACAAAGGGTCAATAGAATCTTGAATAATATTTTTTATTGTAATTATGTAGAAATACGCAACATATTTAATAAAGGAGCTGGGTATTTAAGTCACGGCTGGTAATTGGTACACTCATCCTGTATCACATTGTAATTAAAATGCAAAAGATATTGAAATATCATATTTCTTGCATTTTAATAAAAATGACAGTTTTAGATATTTTTATAAAAAGATAAAGATATTTGAAATTCAAAACCAACACGTTTACTGAATAGTATATTTATTTGGTGAATTGATAAATTTATAAACTTACATAAAAGGAAAATAATTGATTTATAATTTATAGAAGTAATCAGTCAATATTCGTGTTAAAAGTGGATAACTTATTTATTTACCATAAGTCAGGAAATTCAAAAATTTTAAACAAAATTTTTTTGCATTTTTTAAGTGATGTTTCGAAATCTTTAAAAAAAAGAATAATCATGTTTATTGAATTTTACTATGTTTTAGACTATTGATCGACTGATGCTAATTTGAATCATGTTATTATTGTAAAACATTTAAAATAGCAGATGGTACAAATATTCAATAAAATATAAAAATGTTGAAGACACCAATGAAATTAGATGAAATGGAAAAATTTTCAAATGAACTATAAAATAATTACGAAGTCAATATGCACTCTAAAACTAAGGGTAAAATTGTAAGTTTTAAAAATATTACACGACGTAAATCACGATGCTAAATAAAAGGTCATAGATTTCATTAAGGTAAGCAAATAAAGTACATGATGCAGCAAAGTAAACAAAATCCAACAGGATCGTGCAACCAAGATAGTTATCAATACGTTGGTCCTTATAGACTTGAAAAGACCTTAGGCAAGGGACAGACTGGTAAGTATGTATCTATGCATTAATTAAAATAATTTTCAGCCATATATTATATATATAACCACAAACCTTAAACACGCATAATGGAATTATAAAAAAGGCTTTTATTTATTTTTTGTTTTTGTATTCCTATTCAATATAACAATGGTTGACTTGTAAATCTTGTTATATATTATATAAATAAAATCATTATTATTTCATTGATTCTGAAAATGGATATAAAAAACATAATTGGAAATCAAAATGATTCTGACGACTTTTCATCAATCTATTTATTATTTAAAAATTTTACGAAAGTTTCGGCCATTTTGAGATATTCTCCGGCCCTCTTCAGGAAGTCTTAAAAATCAGACGTATTTAAATTATAATTACATATTTACTAAGAACTTGATATCTCGCTCTTTGCTAAACTTTTCAATTTTAACACTGATATAAATTGAAAGTAAGAATTTTAAATATCTATAAAGTTAACAACATCATTCCAAATTTTTCAAAAATAATTTCATTCATGCTAAACAAGAAATTGATTTATTAGTTAGTACGGTTTCAGTATTTGGCTAAGTTTATTAGTTCTAAAACTTTTTCATAAACATATAACATACTAAATTATTTTAAGAGCCTTTAGCCGTAAAGTTTTAGTCCGAAAACATTGCCACAATTATTATTTTGCAAACTTTCCTTAAACTTTGTATTGATTATGTGTACTTATATTATATGCAACTTTGTATGATATATAGGTAAATTATTTCAACGATGTTTGAATTTCTTAATTGTTAATGTATTTCGTTTTGGCGATCGACGGCGCAATGGTACGTACATTATTTCAAACCTCGTTGAAGTATTTTTGTTATCGCAATATTCTTACAACCTATAATAAATATCAATATTTCGACGACATCATGTCAGCGTTATAGAACAGTTGTGACAGTGTGAATATTCAAGAATTAAAATGTTATTTTCATTGAGGCAGCTTTGTATAACCATTATCAATATCTTTTATTGTTCCCACTTTGAGTAACAATGATTATTCAGTTATTCTTTATTAAACAAAATATTAACACCAATAACCACGATATCTCAACGGAGTTTACCTGCTAAGGAGAAGACAAGTTGTCAGGGACGATTTATGTTGATTATTTAGCATATTTGGTTATACAAACTACCTTAGCCAATATTTACTGCTTTTCATATTATGAAATATTGTAACCATAAAATTGAATAAACTATGAATGTTATTATAGGTTTGGTAAAACTAGGGGTGCATTGCGTTTCCGGAAAAAAAGTGGCAATCAAGATTATCAACAGAGAAAAATTATCGGAATCAGTGTTAATTAAAGTAGAAAGGGAAATTGCTATTATGAAGCTTATAGATCATCCTCATGTTCTGGGTCTATCTGATGTTTACGAAAATAAGAAATATCTGTAAGTTTTTCATTAAATATTATTTTATTATTTTTACTTTAGTTAGATCAAATGATAATTTCAAAATTGCACATATGTATATTTAAAAATAAGGTTATTTTTCAAGGTTATTGATATATCTTTGCTTTATTATCTTGAATGAAAGTATCTTGATTTTTTGATAAATATTTTATTTAAATCGATTGCATTCGTAAATTCAGTCAAATGTAAGTTCCAAAAAGTTGAAAACTGTAAATTATATATTCTGACCGTCTTAAACTTTTATTAAATGATCGACTCTATTATTTACATAAATATATTGATGATAATTCTAACAGTGTAAATAAGGATATATTTTTATTGAATCAAAATACATTTGAAAATTATATCTACAGCGAAATGTACTTTTTTAATTGAAAAGAGTATATCATCTTAGATCTTCGAGCTGATACTTTGAGTATGATACTCTTACTTTTAGTTGGGGAATATATGGTATAACGATATGAGTGGAAAATAATTATGTTCAGAAAATTGAAAAGATTTGAGAATAAAAGTTCAAATCAATTGACTACGATTCTATATCATTTTATTAGGTAAATTGGAACATACATTTATGAAAAATATTTCTCTGCAAACATCGCTGCAAAGTGACGTTTCTACGCACCGACATCCAGATACAAAGTACTATATCTTTGGTCATGATCATTTCCGCTACGTTCGCAAAAATCCATATTTATGCTAATGGCTGCGTCTCAAATAGAAAAAGGTGCAATTGTATATACACAAAATACGAGGAAAAGTTATATTATTTTTCAGCAAGTCTCTTAACCCGCGGAAAATGTGTTTACAGTTGGGAGCAAGGAGGATCATGCCTGTCAAGATCTTACAAACCGTTGATGGGAATGGCCTACTTTGCTCTCGTGTAGCGTAATGTAGTAACTGTAGTAATCAATTTTTTATTTTTTTCATCGCGGCTAGAATTCCGTTATCCACATCTTAATTCTAAGCAAAGAAATTTGTTTTCTGATATGTGATTACTTTTTCCTTTTTTTTGTTTTGAAGATGGTGATTACGTTTTTGGCTTCTTTCTTTTTCATTTGAGCGAGATTGAGTTACTTCCAGTAACTTATTGTGTAACTTAGCTAAAATTGTTTTCCTTGATATTAAACTAATCGACTAACCATGAATATAATTATTTTTCGTATAATTGATACCAATTATTCAATTAGCTAAGTTAACGACATTAAAGCATTTAAAAATGACGGACCGAAAACTACAATGAATTACTAAACAATGATGAAACTAGTGGAATGTAGAAGTATATAATTTCTGGAAAAGAATCAATATCATACTTTAGAGATTATAAAAATCATTTTTGAATTAAATATAACAAATTAAGAGAACGATAAACTCATATTTGTAATATATCGTATGAATAAAATTAACTCATACATAAATTATACTAGATTCTTGTAAATGCATCTATAAAGAAAATACTAAAAATTATGTAAGTATAATCTTTAGAGAATAAATTTATTTTTTAGGTATCTAGTTTTGGAACATGTTTCTGGTGGTGAATTGTTTGATTATTTAGTCAAGAAAGGAAGACTCACGCCTAAAGAAGCAAGACGATTTTTCAGACAAATAATATCAGCACTCGACTTCTGCCACAGTCACAGCATATGGTAATTACATATTCGTTATTGTATAGTGTATTTTTATCATATTTTCCAGTTTTGTATGCGAACAATTTCATAATGGATCGAAACTACAAAAAATATATTTTATAATTATCATAGAGGAGTTTTATTAATCATCATATTGTTATGATTGAGTTTCTTTTTTTAAACTGCATGCATTACATTATTGTATATTCTCGTTTGTAAAACTCAAATAATAGAAACAAATATATAGTTTACCTCGAATATAATCTTATAAGCGAATTACGTTATTGTTCTAGTCACCGTGATTTAAAACCAGAAAATTTACTTCTCGATGAGAAAAATAACATTAAAATAGCTGATTTTGGAATGGCTTCTTTACAACCAGCTGGTTCTATGCTTGAAACAAGTTGTGGATCACCTCATTATGCTTGCCCTGAAGTAATTAGAGTAAGTCATGAAAATGAGAGTGAATTAAGCTTTTCCTACCCTTAAAGTTAATTTGAGGATACCAACGTCATTATTTTTTATAACATTTAGTGCAAACCTAAATTAATTTTAGACTATATATAAATTAATCAAAATGTAGTTCTTGAAAGTCATAAATCAAGTTAAATTTATGTTTTAATGTTGTTAATTTGATACACTCTTTGGAAAGATTGTTTTCTTTTATAATACGTCAATATAACATTTACATTTACTTATACTACATAAAATTTTCGTATTTTATTGTTAAATTAAATTATAACTATTTCAAATTAATCATCTCATTTATAAAAAATATTAACGGATTTAGAGTGCTTCCTCATGAAATTTAATGATTATTTTTGTGCTACTGTTAAATACATTTCTTGGAATTCCAACCACAGGGAGAAAAATATGATGGGAGAAAAGCCGATGTTTGGTCTTGTGGAGTAATTTTATATGCACTGCTTGTTGGAGCCTTACCGTTCGATGACGACAATTTAAGGCAATTACTTGAAAAAGTAAAACGTGGTGTGTTTCATATCCCACATTTTGTTCCTCCAGATTGCCAAAGTCTTTTAAGGGGTATGATAGAAGTTAATCCTGAAAAACGACTAACTGTAAGTAATTTCTTTTATGAATGCAAAATAGAACCAAATATATAAATAAAATATAACCAAAAAAGGGATCAATATATTGTTCATAGTAATTACATGATTAATCTTTATCAACTCTTACTTTATAAACTCAGCGCCGGATTTAGACATTAGCTGCCTGTAGGCTTAGACGAGGTGAAAACTTTCTTAAAAAAGTTTGATTTTGAATAATTTTTGTAAAGTATAATTATTTATTACAATTATAATATTGATTTATTTTAAATATGAATATTTCGTACAAATTAGTACGCTTTTTCCTTGTACTGATTTTGACGAAGTCATTAATAAAGATCTTTCACGACTGGAGTTTGTTGTTCGAAAACACAGGTTCAAAAATATCCCCAAAAGTATTTCAACATTCGTAAAGTCTAATTTAACTTTCTATTGGACTAAAAGTTTAAACATTAATAATTTTGAAATTAGTTTATCATCTATTTCTTTAATAAATTCTTTTAAGTGCACGAGTTCTGTGCCAAAATATTAATTCAAATCATTTTGATACACTGTAATTAATATACTTTAGCATTTCATTAATTAAAAAGCGATCTACCGGCTTACCACTTTTTTCGATGTAATGAAAAATTAAAACTAACTGATCAATATGACTGTCATCTTTTGTGGATTATATTGTAAAGGAAAAATATTTCAACTTTTTTATTTGACGAATAATTTCGTTGCTTCTTGCTGTGCCATAAGTTTTCTTATTTTAGTACAACTTATAAATGAGAGATAATTAGTATGAATTGAACTACGATTTACGTGATTTTTTATATGATCCCTTAAAAAATCATCATACAATGCAATCAATTGGAGCATTCCGAAATTATTTCCTTTGTGAGGCGAACCAAATATTTCATCATTTCTTCAAAAAGATAAACTTCGCTTGCTAATAAAACTACTCTAGTGAGTATTTTGCACTAATACTCTTTTTCTTGTTTCTAACTGCTTCATCATTTCAAAATTTATGAGTCCAAACTCTTATGAACGATACTGTAATGTAATTTAAGCTTTGAGATGTACAGAACAAGTTTCGTCATCTTTTAATCGAGCTGCGACATTTTTCCAGTCACGAAAGCTCACGATTAAATTGAGTTAAAGTATTTCCAAACAATTTATAGTTAAAACAATATAATTTCCCATCATTTGGCGAAAAACGTAATCATTCACGATTTATAATTTCACCGTTCTTATTCGTACATAATTGGAATCATTTTGCTAAAAAGATTTCTCTCTCAAAATATCAGGATTACATTTTAATTTTTTCTACGCTCCTCTTCTCACTAGTAAATAATCATTAGAGGCTTGCAATGGCTCGGTCGGTAGGGCGACGGACTCGCACCCGGTAGGCCTGGGTTCGATTCCCAGTCCCTGCTGATTGATACAAGCACCACTGAAAAAAGTTTCATGTGCTTTGTTCTCAAACACATTGCAAGCCTCCGTCGCTGATTAGCACTGATGGGCATAAATAGAGCGACGTTAAATAAAAAAAAAAAAAAAAAAAAATAATCATATTATTCTTATTACTTAAATCTGGTAATATTTTATTTAGAGGTTATTATCGATTTTATATTTTTATTACTGTTAAATTTGTTATTGCATTCTCAATATTGTCCATAACCTAAAGCAATAAAAATTACTATTTAAAGCTTTATTAATTCGTTAAAAAAATTATGTAAAAGTTTTATAACGGAAGATCTTATTGAATTAACTTGTTAATAGGATTTTTCACTATAAAACTAGTCAAATGTGGAGTTTGCGAAAGGACTTTGATTTCGCTTTCTTGTAGGTTTATATTGGTATACGATTCTCTTCGTATTATTAAATCATTATTATCTAACGAATGAAAAAAGATATTTGATAACCACAATAGAATAAAAAGGTCACAGTGCGCTTGAACGGTCGTTAAACACGAGGTGAAAACCACATTGAATTTTCTTCTTGTAATTGATTCTAGAGCATGTATAGACCCTATTTCCGAAAGAAATTAAAAAATCCGCTTAGCCGTTTTTTTTTTTTTCATTTTTTTATTCTTGAAAAAATTGATGCTTTGAAATAACATTCAAAATTATTTAAAAAATAGTTTATTTATGTTAATAATTCATAGTAAGTTCTTATACATCTATAAAATGTATATATATAAAATATGTAATATACTTATTAGAGAGTATATGTTCATTTATATATATGTATATATATATTCTGTAATAAATACCTTATACTACAATAGTACTATCATAACATCACATGTACTGGCATGAGTCTATAAACACGACCGAGCAGAGTGTTTACAAATGTAGTTGGATTTTTTATCAGTCCGTGGTTATCAATCGAAGGTAGCAAATGTGCGAAAACGCGCCTTATATATTATCGATGGACTACTCAAATATTGAAAAATGTCTAAACCGTTCAAAACTCACAAACGAACTCATGCAGATTGTCGTAAAAGTTTATGTTTACTCTGCTTAAAGAAAAAACCTAAGTTAATAATAATAAATGATGAACTTGAACAAAAAGTTCGTAAAGTTACCGGTTATAATAATCAAGACACTCGACTACCAAATGTTGTTTGTGAAACTTGTCGAATTAATATTTATCGACTATATAAAAGTAATTATTCAGTTAAAGAATTTCAATTACCTGACTTTTCAAAGTGGACATATCCGAAGCCTATTACTAGATCTAGTTCCGACAAAAATTGTGGCTGTACTTTGTGTGAAAAAGTAAGTGATGTCAGTCAGTACAATTTTACGAGAAAAAAGAAATTAGTCAAATCCAAAAACATTGTGAAAAAATGCGCTAAGTGTTTAAGTAATTTATCGCAAGGTCACCCTCACAAGTGTACTGCAGCAAGTAGTTACGACAATGTTGACAAGTTTATTAGTGAAAATTTAACAACACGCCAAAAAGAACAGTTAACAAGTAGTTTATTGAAAAATGTCGTATCACGAAACATTACCTCTCCTTCTTCGGGTGATGTGAAATTGACTCAAAAGCATGGTAAGCCTGTGAGAGTTGCTATTGTAAATAGCATGCTAGCAAGAAACGTAAACATGAGCAAATATCGGCGAAAGCTATGTCTACCATTGCATCCAATAACGGTTTATCTACGCGGAAAATAGCAAAAATAGCTTCAGAAATTCGTTATTCAACTAGAAATAGGAAGATCATTGAACCTAATTTATTGAAGAAATTAAAAACTTATAACCATAGACTTGATGATTTCTTTGAAATTAAAAAAGTGAACTTGTTGACAGCAAAAAAGGGTGAGAGAGAAATAAATTCACAAAACGTGATTATTTGTAACGATGTAGGTAAATTAATTGAGCAGATTCAATTGTACAGAAAATTAGACAAACAATTTCATTTAAAATTTGGGATAGATGGTGGAGGAGGATTTCTTAAAGTGTGTCTGTCGTTGCAATCATTAAGTGATAGTGATACAAAAATAAAAAATAAAAAAAGACAATTCTTCACAGATCTTAATTTATCGGAAAATATGAAAGATTCAGGTGTAAAAAAATTGTTTTTGATTGGCTTAGCAGATGCGTCTCAAGAAAATTATGAGAACGTTGAGTTATTGTGGTCAACGTTAAAAATAAAAAGTTTCTCCAACTCTACTATTGCTACTGACTTGAAACTAGCGAACATTCTTGTGGGAATAATGAATCATGCCAGTACATTTCCGTGTACTTGGTGTACAGCAGAAAAAAAAGATTTGAATTCAATCGGACAGTACAGAACAATTGGTGAGTGCATAGACAATTATAGAAAATGGGAAGAACGTGGTAGTAAGTTAAACGATGCGAAAAAATTCAAGAATTGTGTTCATTTGCCAATCATTTCTGATGAGAGAAGACAAGAACTCATTGACATTATTCCACCACCCGAACTCCATCTCATGTTAGGCGTTGTAAATCATTTGTTTCAAAATATGTCATTATCATTTGAAAAAATAAGCTTAGATTGGGCAAAACAGTGCAACGTTTCTAAAGACTTTTTTAATGGGAACGCAAGTTTTGCCGGCAATGCTTGCAAAACTCTACTTAACAAAACAGATATCTTGCGCTCTTTAGTCAGCATTGATTGTTTGAAGTATGTGAGATGTTTTGATGATTTTTGCAATGTTGTGAATTCTTGTTTCGGTATGAATCTCGACCCAAATTACAGTACTTATATTGAAAAGTTTAAGGGAAGTTATATAGATTTAAATATAAGCATCACACCTAAAGTGCATGCTGTATTCTTTCATGTAAAATATTTTTGTGATAAAAGTGAGAAAAGTCTTGGTTTTTTTAGTGAACAATCCATTGAGTCAATTCATTCTGATTTTGCAAAGACTTGGGAAAAGTATAAATTGAATAAAACTCATGAAAATTATGCTAAAAATTTACTCAGAGCAGTTCAAGAATTTAATAGTCAACATATATAGTTTATGCTGCAGTGTTTATATGTTAAGTAACTATATATTATGTACACATATTTTGATAATTTGTTATATTTGTATACATGGTTATACCTTCACAATGTTACTGTGATTTATTGTGATTACTGTCAATAAATATTTTATTAAATAATTTTGAATGTTATTTCAAAGTATCAATTTTTTCAAGAATAAAATAATCAAAAAAAAAAAACGGCTAAGCGGATTTTTTTTATTTCTTTCGGAAATAGGGTCTATACATGCTCTAGAATCAATTACAAGAAGAAAATTCAATGTGGTTTTCACCTCGTGTTTAACGACCGTTCAAGCGCACTGTGAGGTATTATTACACAAGCCTACAAATTTTCAAAAAAGTCCGGAACCAGAGACCAGAGAAGTAACTGATGGAATTTAATGTGTTGAGTTCGAATCCGGACTCAAACACTTTCTTACCTTAAATTTTTTTTAATATCGTAACCTAAATGTGCAAAAAACACTGTTTTTTTGTAGTTTTTAGGTTTTTCTCACATCGCGAATTGTTATT